GCATACATGTGGTTCACCAACACGTACAAGCACACACACACAGTACTCTAGGTTAACCCACACGCATATATACATACAAGTATATGCACTCACATTCACTTACTCAAAGACATCAAAAGAAGCGGAGCGTATTCCTCTACCCCATGGTCAGTTATGATCAACAGGCAACAGCGGAAGAAATCCTGTAAAACTCACAGGGCCAAGCCCTAACAGCGCCCTACCAAATAAAAGACCCACTGTGCGATGAAGAACTATAAGCCAGCCATTAACTACTACAACATTCACACAAAGGACTAATGAAGCACCTGCCATATAAAGCCTTCTAGGACTTTCCAGGCAGATCAAAAAAAAAGAAGAAGAAGAAGAACCCAACAGGATGTTCACCATGTGCACAGCTGAGCTAAGCCCTACCTGAATTCCCAGGCCATGGATCATTAGCAAAACACACAGCTGTTGTTCCCAGCCTGAGTCTTAAGGTTGTTTATTAGGTAGCAACAGATAACTGTATCCAGAGATTAGGGGTAGTTCTTGTTATGATGTGGTTATGTACCTTGGGTCAAGACTTCCCCTCTTGACCTCAATTTCCACCCATAAAGTGAGTCTGCACAAGATAGCTGAGGTGCCTTTCAGTTTTAACAATCTGAGCCATAGTCCAGACAGCATATGTGAGGCATACAGAGGGAAGTAAGGCAGCCACAGACCAGGAGTCAAAGGCCCTGGAGGGTACTGATCAAAGGAGACAGATGCTAGAACAATGTAGGGCCCATTATGGTTTGCAAAAGCAATATATAGAGAAAATCTCTTGTGTACTGTATGGAACCTTCACCTGTCAATAAAAAGTTGTTGGCCTATTAGCTTAGGCAGGAAATAGTAGGTGGGAGGTCTATCGGGGAGTGAAGATTCTGGGATAGTCAGGCATGGAAGAGATTCGCCATAATGATGATATAGACAGTCTCATGAACGTGAGGGCAGGTAACTAGCCATATGGCAGAAATTAGAATAGAATAAATGGGTAAAGTCATGAGCTAGTCAGGGAACAAGCCCAAGCTATGGCCTAGGCTAGGAGTCATTATTTCAGGAACTTGGGCTCAGGTGGAAAAGCCTGCTGTTACAGCAACGTTCCCCATGGGCTCATGTATCAAACTCTTCATCACCAGCTGCTGGTGCTATTTTAGAAGATGGTAGAAACTTCACGAAGTGGGTGCTAGCTCCAGAAAAGAAAAAATGAGGATATGCCTTTGAAAGTTGAACCTGATCCTGAGGCGGATGACTTCCACCACATGCTCCCACCATCCTGACGGGCAGTAAAGAGCACTCCACTGCACGGAGGAAAGACCTGAGCGATGCCCTCCCGCTGGCTGCATGTCAGGTATGTGAGCGATCTGCAGGGCTAGGGTTCCCTTCTGCCATCAGAACCAGCAACTAGGACCATGGACTGAACCGTCTGAATCCATGAGCAAAATAAAATCAACCTTTCCTTCTTTAAGTTGTATGGATTGGGTACTCCACTAGTGAGCAAAGCCCGACTGATATGAAATGGTTTTCATTATCTGATGCTTACAAGCTCTGTGAGTCTCATCTCTAAGTTTCCACCTGAGAAACAGACAACACTCGGTGTAACTATTTGTACAAAAAGTCTTTGGGGTTAGTACTTTGCAATGCAATAATCAGCAGCATGCAACTAAGAGATTAAACAAATTACCAACTATATAAGCATTTGGAGGATGTAAGAGTCCAAAGGCTAGTTTTGTCAACTTGGCTGTGAGGACCCTGGCAGGCAGCAGCCTTCCTGAGCCTATATCCTAGTGCATATAAACAGACAGATGGAGACATGCCTAGTTAAAAAAAAAAAGTGGAAAGATTTAAGTGTGGCCTTGCAGGTGAAAGCACATAGTTTGGGCTTCATCCTGATATGATTTGGGGTAGGGTGCATGCAGGAAGCCAGGGTCTCTGGTACCCAGATCCTCCTCCTTCCCCTTCCTGGGTACTGGGATTGCAGGCATGCACCACCACACCTAGACTATTTGTGTTGAGGATGTGACCCCGGGCTTCACGTATGATAGGCAAGCACACTACCAATGGAGATACCAGAAGGTATGTGTATTTCTTAAGTACACAGAAGATCAGCCAGGGACAGGCCTTCTCAGGTAACCCTAAATCTTGACGTCTCTGTGTAACTCTGAAAAACTAGAGGCGTACATCCAGAGACTCTCCATCCAGTGTTGCTTCTGAAAGCTGCCAACCCTTGGAAAAGGAAGTCTTGGGCTCCTTTTCCAAGGTGCCTAACAAGGCAACAATGCATTTGCATTTTACAGTCTGTGCTTTTCCAAAACAAGGAGCAAGTGCCTTATGGCTTTAACCCCGAAATCCCCATGATGGTGCATTCCTAGGGACAGACACTGTTCAATAGAGGCACTTAACTGGCATGCCCAAGGTCTGGAGTGGGGGGCACACAAAGAGATGATCTTCTGTTTCTACCTCTGTGTAGGTCTTGACTGACATGGTATTTGAAATATGCCAGAGTCCAGCATCAAAGTCAGAACCCAGTCCATAAAGTCAGCCTTAGCCTACAGAAGCTCTGCCTACCCTTGTCCCTTCTTCTCTACTTCCTCTTCACGTTTGTCAGTGCTGAGCACCTGCCCCCCCCGCTGCGCTTCAGATCTACACTGGGAACACAACTTAGACTAGCCATGGCCCCTCCCGTCACTGACCATCACCATCGGTGTCTGTGAATCCAGAGAGTTACTATAGAAACTACACCACGCAGCCCCCAGACATTTGCTCAGAAAAGAAACTACACGTTTAGTACTAGGGGGGAAGTAGGAGCCAAGCCTCAAGCTCTGTGTTTCTTGGACTGCAAACAGCTTCGTTAGGTCACCTGAATACTCACTAAAGCTACACACATCCCATAAATATATCAAGCTACAACTGGGCATAGAGGAATTGGGCTATTTTGTCTAAAACTATTACTTGGTTGGCTGAGTGGTTGGTTTTCTCAGATAGGACTACGTGCTGAAGGCAAGCTACCAACTCATGGCAATCCCCCTGCCTCAGCATTCCAATTGCAGATTATACTAAGAATTGGACTTTTCTTGCAATTTGTATGTGCACACATTAGATTTTTGACACCTAGCTGCAACCAAATGCAGAGGCCTGTGAGAAAAGAATAAAAGATAAAAAAATAAAAATAAAAAACTTTAAATCTTACTAGTCTTTCCCCCCTAGTTCTTTTTTTTAAAAAGGCTCTGATGAGGCTGGAGACACGGCTCAGTTGGTGGTTAAGAGCACAAACACTAGTCTTGCAGAGAATCTGAGTACAGTTCCCAAAACCTACATCAATCAGCTCAGAAGTGTCTGTTACTCCAGCTCCAGGGAGATCCAATGCCTCTGGACTCCAGGGAACCTTCGTTCACATGCATATAACCACACACACGGAACACACACGGACACACAATTTAAAATAATAAAAAATATTTTTTAATAGAACACTGATGAACCAAGCAAGACAAAGCCAATTTTTTAGTGTATGTATATCCAAGAAAATGAAATCTTAACCATAATAAAAGGTTATCCATAGGCCCAGACATCCACGAGCCCAAATTGCCCACATCTTAAGGCCGACCAGATCTATTCTGAGATAGAGAAGTGAGACAGGATCTTGGCTGACAATCCCCCTCTAGTCCCAACTATCCTCAGCTCTGCATTTCAAGGGAGAGTCTGACATCAATAGGGTGAAGGGGTAACAACTCTAGTTCTAGAAAATCTGACTGAGAAAAGTTGAGGTTGGGGGGGGTGATTCACCAATTAATACATCTGCATGAGAAGAGGGGAGGAAGGGGAGGAAGTGTAAAGACAAATGACTTCTGGGTATCTAACTGACACTCCAATGATGTTTTGCAAACTGAAGGAAATTGACACCTAATGTCCTTGCACAATATGCTAACCTGTGGGTCACTGAAGAAAAGAGAACGGAGCAAGTTTGCCTTCTTATCAAAAGTCTTGTTCTCAAAACCATCCAAACCCAATCTATACAGAGCTCGCTTAAATTTCACTCAGTAACAAGCACACTGTGCATTCTGAGTATCCCTGCGTCTTCCTTAAGTTATAGGTAGGACAGGGCACCAATCACGAGGAGAAGCTTTAACCACTGAAAAGCACCGTTCCGGGAAACTCCACTGCAGTCTCAGAAGCCAGAACTCCTTACATAGAGAGGTGCCCCACGGTCACCGGGTTGCCTGTCTTATACACAACCACTGATCCAGAGCGAAGGTTTCCACTCCACCCCTCCCCCAAGGGTGGCTTTGGCCTTGGCCCTGCAAATTCCAGTCGTCTCGGCTAAATTCTTCATCAGCAACTGCTGAGATTTAACAGTGCACCACAAAACTAGAAAACAGGTTTCACCTCACCACTACACCAATGACTGGCACATGCTAAAGAGTCATGCAAAAGCAGACATTTGGTTAGTAACTTTAACACCTACACTCAACTACTTGGAATGAGTGTGTGTATGTGTGTATATGTATATGTATATGTATATGTATATGTATATGTATATGTATATGTATATGTATAT